ATAATAATATCATTCCTGCACCTCTGTATCTTGATACACTAAAGTCTAAACAATGTTGTTCCTACAATAATTTCTCATTACACTCTTGATAACTTCAATCCTACTCTACTCAAAACACAAACACACCCACACACCAAAAATAAAAAAAAAAAAATGTAAACTTTTTGTGATTTTTTTCCTTTTACTCAAACAGGAAGAACAGCACTTCTTGCTCCTCTCCCGTGCCCGAAAGAAAAGATCGACCTCCGGCTTCTGCTCCCGCTCGCCGGACCAATCTCGCGGCTCTCCCGTAAAATCTCTTGAATGGACAAATAGACTCTCGGGTCTGTGGCAGAATCCATCGAGAAAGACCGCCTGATCGGCTCCACCACCACACCGTCTTTCGCCCTCACATCAATCCCTTCATCTCCCATAACCGAAACCCCACGAAGAAGTTTCCTCTGCTTGCTCGACGAGCTCACCAAGAATCTCCCGGAGCCCGGCTCGCCAAGCAGCCCACCGCCACCCGTCCCCTCTTGCGGGCTGCTTATCACGATTTCCAATAAGTCATCATCTGGATGGAAGTCCTGCGGTGAGGAAGTTGGGGCCACGATTGTCTCGGGCTGGGCCTGATGATACCTGTTCCGGCCAGAAATGGCCGACCTGCACAGCGGGCAGCTTGAGCTGCTCACGAGCCATATGTCAATGCAGTCGACATGGAACGCGTGGCCGCATTTAGGGAGGACGCGGAGCGTTTCTTGATTTCGAAACTCGTTTAGGCACACGACGCATTTGGACGAGTTCGTGAATAGTTCGGGTTGTTGGTGTGGTGTGTAACGGACGGTGGGGATGTTGCGGATCAGGAGCTCGTCGAGCCCTCGATTGGGCCGCGAGGGGGAAGGGGAAGTTAGGGGTTCGTGGCTGACCGGAGGGGCTCGCCGGAGGGTCGGGAGGCGGCGGCGGCTTAGTGGGTCGGCCGGCTGCCACCGGAAGCAGCAGTTGGTGACGAAAATGTAGTAGGCGACGAGGAGGAAGGCGGTGGCGGTTATGCCGAGGACGGCCACGGCCAGCATTGGGAAGTCGCTGCCGTGAGCGGCGGGTGGCGGTGGCTGGCCGGAAAACGAGCAGTGGCTGCTGATTGGGGGGAGAGACTGAGACTGAGACTGTAAGTTCTGTAATGTGGACATGAGAGGTTTTTTGTTGGGTGTTTTGGGATTGAACAGTGAGTATTTGTGTTTTGGGATTTAATAGAATTCACTATTATAAAGAGTTGACACACAAAGTTGATGAGATTAAACAGAACTGAGAGAGAGAGAGAGAGAGAGAGAGAGAGAGAGAGAGAGAGAGAGAGAGAGAGAGAGGTTTGGGAGTGTGTGTATTAGGTTAAGAGTTCTTGAAAAGTCAATCCTTTGATTTGAAAAAAAAAAATAAAAAGGGTAATTAACAATGGTTTAATGGGGTGATATTTGAGTGGATTAGTGCATGTGCTTGAAGATGCTGAGACATAAACATGGGACTTGATATGATAATTGAATATATTGATATTGATTGACTCCAAATGTGATAGTTTGACATTTTATAGCTTCAAGTTTTGAGGGAAGATGTTTTTTTTTTTCTTCTCATCTTTTCACACATAGTTTTTTTATTTATTAGTTTATTTTTGTTATTGACATCTTAATGAGAGCTTGACT